GCTTCATCTTCATCTTCCTCTTCTTCGTCTTCGTCCTCTTCCGAAGACGACTCTTCCGCCTCCGAAGATGAACCGTCGAACGCCCTGCAAGCTTTTTCCCCCTCGCCATGCCGGAGCCGTCCGCCGCCTTGTTCTTCTTCGCGGATGTTTTGCCCTTCTTCGCCCGCGCCGCATTGGGTACCTTCTTCGACGGTGCGGCGGCGGCACGGGATGGCGCCGGCGCGACGCCACCCGGCGCCGGCGCCGTAGTCATCCGCGGCGGCAAGAAGAGGCTGCGCGCGAGGCCGACGCTCGGCGGAGCTCCGGCGGTGGCGACGCCAGCGCTCGCCGCGCTAGGGTTTCCGGCGACGGCGGCGGGGGGGTCGCGGATGTACAGCGGGGTGAGCGGGGCGCCAGTGTGCGCGTCCACGGCGGGGGGCAGGGCGCCGGCGCCGGCGCGCGCGGGGCGTAGGACGAGGAGAGGGAGAGAGTGCGGGCGCGAGCGCTCGAGTGTGCCGCGCGTTGTAGCTGGCGCTCCAAATACACCGCGCGGATAAGTGTTCTTGACCGCGCGCCCAACCCGTTATCGCGCGCCCGCTGGAGCGAGCCGCCGCGTTGCGCGCGCGCTAAAAAGGCCTATTTTGCGGCGCGGCGCTAGTTTAGCGCGGCTGTTGGAGATGCTCTAACTAATGCAAGGATTAGCGTTCAGACCATCTTAATAATATGTTTATAGCTAGAGAAACGATCTACCGCCAGCAGCGGAAATTAGCGGCGGCCATCGCAGAATCACCATTTTCTCAAGTTTATAAACAACAATGATTCCTGACGGTGGCTGATGGAAACTAGCGGGCGGCGGCCGTGATATTGGGAATTCGGGACCAAATCGTGTGAGCTACTACCTCCGACTCAAGATCTAATGGTGAAAAAACACACTAACCTCTTTTCCTCGTTTGGTAGCTCACATGTACGGCCGGCCGGCCGGAATGCGCCGTTGGATCGATAAAACAACACTTTTGTGTCCCCTTCCCGGACAAATTATATGAAGATCTAGCAGGCAGCCGGCGGCCGGCGGCATGGTCGATCGCAGGAGCAGTTTTTTAAGTAGGGTTGAAACGAAGGGATTACAGTAGACCTGAACTGTGCGCGTAATGCTTCATAGCCTGGCCCCTTTGCTTTCACGGTGGGCTACTTCCTATTTTCTTTTCCATGGATTTGGGTCTTTATGCTGCAATCACTTGTTCAACAACATATGGGCTCTGGGCGTTTCTAAGAAAAAAACACATATGGGCTCTGGGCTATGGGAGGCACAGGGGGGGCGAAGCAAGCCACAGACAACTGCGGGGCCAAAAAAATTTAGCGATTAACATATCGCTATTAACGTGCGACACGATCGTTAGGGGGGGTCTCGCCCCCCCTCGTCCCCCCCTGAATCCGTGCCTGCTACTCCGTGTCCAACGTCGACGACGCCGGCAAGGAGAAAGACACCAAGATGGCCGCCCCGTCAAGCTTCCACTGGGGAGAGGATATGTTTCAGCTATTCATCAGCGTGTTCGCCTGCCGCGACATCTCTCCAGTACAATGGTTTAGACCGCGGTGTAGGCGTGAGTGCTCGCTGCTCGACCGTGACTGAGCAATCTTCGTGTTGTGTCAGATTGTGTCACTCCAGTGCGTGTGTGGTTCATGGCTGTGGTGGTGTTCACTGGTAACATCATGTGTTAACTTTTTCTCTGTTTTTTATTGTCTTCAGTTCAGTTGAGCTGCAGTATACAGTATACAGTTTCATTGCTTGTTCAAACCGGCTCTGCTTTGCGCGCTTCTCTTCTTCCGTGCGATTTCCAGCTCGTAGTTGAGCGAACTGCAGATAGATAGTTCTGCATTTTCTGTCAGTCTGGAGTAGGCATATCTTCAGCATGCTGCTTAGCTAATACTCCCTCCGTTCCCAAATACTTGTCTTTCTAGGCATTTTAAATGGACTTAACATACGGATGTATGTAGACATATTTTAAAGTGTAGATTCACTCATTTTGCACCGTATGCAGTCACTTGTTGAAATCTCTAGAAAGACAAGTATTTAGGAACGGAGGGAGTAGAAAAGGTTATAAAGAAAAAAGATTGCCGACCATATTTGGCATATGCTTTCTTCGCTAGACGGTGGCCTTTATCACTAATCCTGGAGTTTGTATGCTAAATGTGCATGCCGCACATGTTACCACCACGACACAAGGCAGCTCATGGCTGTCGTGCGCTGGGTGTGCCTCCATTTGGGCACGCATGCTCGGCTGACGGCAAATCCTATTTGGCGCTGCAGGCGCCGGTTAACGTGCATTTCGTTAACGGGCGCCTGCAGCGCACACCACTTCCCGCGAGCTGGGCCGGCCCATTAAAATTGAGGGAATCGAACCACCGGCCTGCTGGTTTCAACCACACCGCGCTAACCAACCACACACCTGCATCTGGCGCGATTGAGTACCTTCTTTACTGTTGATTTACTTACGGTTGTTTCGAACTGTTTTGTTCGTTTTTCTTTTTACGTTTTTTTTCTTTTTTCTTTCTTCATTCTTACACTTTCTGATAAATGATCACTGTGCAAACTTTCCTCAATTTCCCTTTTCTATTTGTGAAACTGATGAACTTTTTTTCAGTACATGAACTTTTCTTCTGAATTTGATGAACTTTTTTTCAACTCGATGAACTATTTTTTTCAGATTCGATGAACTTTCTTCAAATTTGTGAACTTTTTTTCCTTCTTCCTGTGTCAACGAATTGTCTTGCAAATACGTGAACTTTTTCTTCAAACCGATGAACTTATATTGAAACTTGATGAACTTTTTCAAATTCAATGAACTTTTTTCAAATTGATGAACTTTTTTTCATTTTTTGAGTAATTTTTAAAAAATTCATGAACTTTTTAAAAAAATTCTAATGAACTATTTTCAAAATTGATGAACTTTTTTTTCAAATCCGCTGAATTCTTTTCAAAATCAATGAACTTTTTTCTAATTATGATGAACTTTTTTCACATTCGATGAACTTTTCTCAGATTCGTTGAACTTTTTCAATTATGACGAAATTTTCTTAAATTCGATGAACTTTTTTTTTAGATTCGATGAACTTTCTTCAAATTGTGATGAACATTTAAAAAACCAATGAACTTTTTCAAAATTGAAAAAAAAAAGTTTTCATATTTTTTTAAAGAAGTGCACACATTTAGCAAAGAAAAGGAAAGAAAAAAGGCAAACAAAACAGTTACAGAAAAAAAGGATGGTTTTGGAAGCTTCCTAGACCGGGGTCTTTGCGAGGTGGACAAAAAATAAAAGGGTAGAAACGACTTTAGTGAGCACATGTTGGTCTATGGTGTAGTGGTTCGTGCACCCGTAGTTGTAAGTTCAGGTTCCGTGTTCGAATCCTGCTCCAAGCGCCTTTTTTGCTCCTTTTACACAGAAAGAGGACAAATGGGCCGGCCCGCTACACGCCCCTGCGAGCGCCAGAATGATTAATGGGCGCCATGAGCGCCGACTAGGAGCTCCCTCAGCTGACTGCCCACTTAAGAGGTGGAATGCAGACGCTGGAGTAGCCGAGGTGGGACTAATAAAACAGAGGAAACTCTGGCCATTCTGCTGCTCTGTTCCTGAGGGGCGCTGACTGAGGATTGAAGGCCGTGGGCAGCGAGCAGCTGCCGTTGGGCTGGGCCGCGTGGAGGAATGGTAAGTGATTTTGTTCACCTCACTGATGTGCAGTTGTTCAAAAGAAAAGAAAAAACCTTGCCTCAAAAAGAAAAAAAAACCTCACTGATGTGCACATCATGTGAACGATGGCGATCTTCTCGGAGAAAAAAATGTGAACAATGGCGTGATTTACTCTCTCTGGAACACTGCTGCCGCACTTCACCAAGAGCATATCCAACCTTGGTTTCAGCTATTCATCAGCGTGTTCGCCTGCCGTGACATCTCGCAAGTACTATGGCTTAGGCCGTGGTGTAGGTGTGTGTGATGCACCCGCTGCTCGACCATCGTTCAATCTTTGTGTTGTGTCCAGTGTGTGTATAGTTCATTGCCAATATCTTGAGTTTATTCTTGTCTTGAGTTCAGTTTAGTTGCAGTACAAGTTTCATTTCGTTTTCAAACCGCTGTGCCAGTCAGGAAATGGGAATCAGTTACAGCTTCATCATCAATTTGTGATTTCCGGTTAGTGTTTTAGCTTATGGAAATGGAATTCTGAACTGCAGATAGATAATTCTGCGTCTTCTGAACTTTCAGACATTCTGAGGTAGGCGTATCTGATAGGAAACAAAACACGCATTCAGTTTCAGCATATTCTTTTGGAAACAAAACACGCATTCAGTCTCAACACAAATTTATTTTATCATGCTACAGACAATCTTCCCTCGAAAAAGAAAATAAATAACAAACGACTACTCGTATTTGCCTAGCTAATGTACTCTGAATACAAGCAACCTTGCAGTGAACAGAGAGCAGTAACAACAAGAACACTGCTCACTTAAGAGGTGCTTCTCACACCACTGAGTGGCCGATGTGGTGCGTTCACACTGCTGCTGCACTTCACTGTGCTGCGTTCAACACTGGTGGATTACGATAAAAATCTTAGCTTATCCAACGAGTTTCTTTTTTTTTTAAACTATTTCGGTGTTTTTTTAGTTGGCTACTATTTTGGTTTTTTTTTACCTAACTTATTTCTTCTTGTAAAGTTTTGAAAGAAAAAAAATTTCTGAGCCTTGAGTACATAACCTGGAATTCCACAGCCTGGACAAAACAGCTTTATTGCGAAAGTTATTATAAGCTTATTATAGCATCCAGATAGCTACAGTGGAAAATGGGAGTACAAACGAAAACTTGCCCAAAATTGCAAGCACAAATTCATGCCTACTGTCACGAAACAATTTTACATGTTGACACAATAGCACCTGAAATAAGGCCACCGCCAACCTTTCTCTTGTACAGTACTATATGCTACAACCAGGCACTATCTTATCTTTTGGTTGTTACAGGATTTGGTTTGCACTTCTACGCGAGCTCGAGAACAAGTGCGGATGCTCCGCCTCCGCCGTTGCAGACACCGGCGACCCCGATTTTGCCACCCTTCTCCCTGAGGACCTGTGGAGCAGCAACATGCATGGTTCCTTAGTTCATTTCAAAATCTGATGAAGTGAGAGCAAAGGAAACCGGAGACAGCAAGGAGATGGTAACTGAAATCACAGGATATGGTTCTCTTATACTGGAGTGGAAAAATCTTGAGTATTGATACGATACTGTTTTTTTTTTCCGCACAGGTTACAGCTATGATCATATTTGTAAACATATTGCAGAAAGTTTTTTTAACCAAAAATTTGCAGCCATATGGATGGCTGTAGGTAAAGATGTCTACTGCTACTTTTGAGTGCCACTGGATTTTGATATTTACTTGAGGAACAGCTTCTACTAGAAAGCAAGACCCATCCTAAAACAACAGGCCCTGGCACATGATCGCAACACAGGACAACATCTCACGAGAAAACTTACACCAATAAGGGTGACCAAAATGCGAGCACCGCTGCATCCAAGAGGGTGTCCTAAAGACACTGCTCCTCCATGTACATTAATCTTTTCCTGCAACCACAGCTGCTGTCAGCACCTCATCTTGTTTACACTAATAAATACTGCTCGTTGACAGCAAATGGTTAAGAATCGACGTGCATTTCCTGACAGGAATGTTATCTTATATTCAGGCCCCGAAACAAATTTAGATTTTCTTTAGCACGGAAACAGGATTAGTTGAACCAAGGCAGCACTTACTGAAGGAATTCCGAGAATCTTCTGATTTGCAAGTGCAACAGCCTGCAGTAAGAAGTGGAAATAAATATTGATTCTAATGCAACTAGTAAAATGTAGTAAAAAAGGATCAAGATTGTACCGCAAAGGCTTCGTTAATTTCGTAAAAATCAACAGATGAAGATTCTAAGCCAGCATTTGAGAGAGCCTTCGGTATGGCAAGTGCTGGGGTGGTGGTAAATAGTTCGGGAGCCTGCATAAAGAATTGGAAGTCAGAAATATCATTCCAATTGTAATTACACAGAACTCAATTCAAGAGAACATGGACTCATATTCGCCCAGGACCTAGATCCTTGTGTACACTTTCCTAAGATGTTAATCTAGTCCAAACTAAGATAAGAACTGGTACTTTAGCTTACTTGAGCCGCATCGGCAAATCCTTTGATCCTTGCAAGAACTTGCAGCCCAAGCTCTTGAGCCTTCTGCCCACTCACCAATACTAATGCGGCAGAGCCATCACTGCTCCATGTAAAATAAACAGATAAGCATCACATATTCAGTTAAATTCTGGGCAGAAGATTGGATAATGGCAGTCGATGAACAAAATCCAGTAAAATGTAAGATGACAAGAGGATCTGTGGCTCCCCGCAAAAAGAAAAAGAAAAAAAAACAAGAGGATCTGTGGCAACAATGAACTATATACTCCCTCCATTTTTATTTACTTTGCATATTAGCTTTGTCTCAGGTCAAACTTTCTAAACTTTGACCAAGTCTTATACAAAGAGAAAATAACATCCACAATACCAAGTCAATACCATTAGAATCATCATTCAATATATTTTCATACCATATATATATATATTATTGTGAAAGTTTAGATTGTTTTTGATAAACCTGGGTCAATCCTTATAAAGTTTGGCTTTGGTCAAAGCTAATATGCGGAGCAAATAAAAACGGAGGGAGTACATAAGAATTTCAGCATTTCTATAGACTTGGTCAAATATCGAGCAGTTTGACTTAAGACAAAGCTAGAACTTCAATTAATTTGAAGGGAGGGGCTACATAAGATTTCAACATTTTTAATTTGGATAGACATTTACAAAAGTCCTGCTAGAAATACAAATACGAAGTAACATACTAAACTTTACCGTTAACTGGATTGCAAAAACATACCAAGCAGATGAAACATAAATATTAAACACAACTAGCAATTTGCAACAACAAACAGCAGTTGAATGCAGTACAGAGGACAGCAAGAAAACTAGTCAAGTTTAAAGCCTGTATAGAACATAACATTAGGATTCAAGAAAACAAAAACAGAAAAACACATCAAGGCAAAGATCTGGAAAAAAAAAGACAAGCACCTTATACTAGAAGCGTTCCCAGCAGTAACAGTGCCAGCTTTCTCCTTGAAACTTGGGCGGAGCTTCCTCAGTTTCGCTGGGTCAAACTAAGAGGCATAAAATGCTCATATTACACAGTAGTAGTATCGCATAAAAAGATTATACAGGTAACAAATGTCATATTTTCCTTGTTTTAACTATCCAGAAGACTATCAGCAACTTCGCCAATAACGTAGTATGTACTGCCTGGTATTTCTTGAGCCTAGTATATATTATATTTCACTACAGAATGCATGAAAACATACAGAATGGAGACACAATATGCTTTAAAAAATGTTTTTTTCGGAATAATTTGGTTGTTCTTAAAGGAAATTTACAGCTACTGTTAACAAAAAATACACAGGATAGCCTTGTAGTTAATTGTTTCTAGTTTTTCTGTTTGAAAATTTTTACCCTGTCAAGGCTCTCATCTTTTTCAACAAGTACTGGTGGTTTTCCTCTGCCGACAGGAACTTCAACCTGGTAGATAGGACAGAGGGCATTAGGAAAACAAATAAAGGAATGGTTAGTAATATTGGCAGAGAGACAGAAAATGACCGGAACGATCTCCCATGCAAAAGCGCCACTATCACGAGCAGCAATTCCACGCTCATTACTTTGAATAGCAAAAGCATCCTACATAAGAATGTACAAATTCAGACACGTCACAACTAATAAATACATGGGTCATAATGTAGAAGAAGGACATTACATCAATACCTTAAGAGATGTCAAACATAGCATTCGACAAATTTAACTCTGCTATATATCATATTCTTCCACCAGAAAATGGAAAGAATAAAATCTGGGGAAGTGATTACTGTCCAAAAGCATGTTGTTCTGTACTAAAGAGCTACATTGCAATCATACAACTAATATTGATATCCTCACCCTAAAGTAAGGTATGAATAATTTTGGCAATGAACTCTTGCACATTAATACGGAAAAAAAATCAGTTCCACATTTGAAACAAGCAACCGGAGGTTCGTTTAGTCATGTGAACATTATTTAAACCTACCCTAGAAATTTCTAGGAGCATCCCTGCTAGAAAAGGTTAATATGCCCAAGCTGGTATTAATAGGGCATCACTGACATAAGACACTGGCAGTTATGTATATATTGGTCCAAACCAAACAGGATTGTACCTAAGATGAAGAAGAACATATATAATCAACTTGTATGGGACGGTAATGACAAAGTTCAGTGCGCTCAAAAGACCAATTCCGTGTGTTTTCAATATATTTAATAACCTGTACTGAATCTCTAGGAGTAACAACTGACAAAAACACATGCCGTTCTGTGCTAGAAAAATATAAGAATAATAACTACATTAGAAAGTGGTTACTACAATCTGTCATAACTTACTTGGTCTTCCCTTGTCAGAGCATGATTGTCAGCACAAAGCTCAGCACACACTCCCATGGCACAATCGCCGTATACATCCCAAAGGCCATCCTTAAGCATACCGTCAACAAGGCTGTCATGTCCGAAACGAGAACCTTTTCTGCATTTGATTACACAAATCACTAAGTTGCCGGCAAGACATACAAGAGGCATACACTAACATTGTACTGTATTATGCATCAATTCTAACAGATTACATAATAGTACAAATTAAACTTTTACCTGACTGCTTTGTTCATGTACCTTGAAAAGATGAATGAATGGAGCACTACAAAGTACAAAACAGAGCAATCTAAACACAAGGTGAACAGAGCATCCTAAACACAAGGTGTCAAACAAACTGTTTCAAATGGATATCTTGGCATTCTCCTTCTCCTAGTATGCTTATTCAGACAAAAAAATCAAGAATGATTTTCAGCTCTGCACTACATCCAGATACAATCAGAAAAACACTTTACTAACCTAGCTTCAGCGATGTATTTCGGAGCATTCGACATGCTTTCCATGCCCCCTGCCACTACAATATCATTGCTGCCCAGTTGAATCGACTGTGCAGCAAACATCGTTGCTGCAGAAAGGGAGGGGAAAAATCAGGATCATGGTCCAAAAATGTCTGAGTTACAGAAACTGTAAGCACAAATTATACAGACATGGTCACATGAGCTCGAACCTTTCATGCCAGACGCGCAGACTTTGTTGACCGTCGTGCAAACAACCGTGTTTGGTATCCCTGCGCCTAAGGCAGCTTGTCTCGCTGGAGCTTGGCCCAAGTTAGCACTCAGGACATTGCCGAAGAAGACCTCCTGCACAAGGGGTGGATCCACATTCGCCCTTTTCAGAGCAGCTGGTCACCCCCAGTCAACATGTTAGTGTTAAACAAAGTCGACAAATTATAACTTCAGGGGGGTATATAGACAATATACTGACCGCACCTTCGATAGCTATGGAGCCAAGTTTGGTGGCAGGCAAGGAGGACAGGGCGCCGAGGAAACCACCCATAGGGGTGCGCGCGACCCCGACAACGCAGACATCTGTCAGACAGGGAGAAAAGGTTACTAACTGCAGCATATTGCACACCATGTTTTTGATCTTTCCCTTACCTTTTCAGTTTTTGTAATGATTTTTTTAAGAATATGTGCAGGCAAGAAAATCAAAGAAAACAAAATCAATTGCTTTTAGATGAAATAAAAAAAACTAAATGTGCTTCACATCATGCAACACCTTTGCCACTCACGCAGATCGTTCATGCCGTTAAATTTTAACAGTGTTATGGAGTCTGAACTAGTGACAGCGAACTCACTGTCACGGGTTCAGACTTCAGACAAGGTCGTATACAGGATCACCCGGTGTTGGTTCAGAAAAACACATACTGGGATACCATAGTGCAGATAGGAGACGAAAGAAAGGAAGTAGTACCTCTGGGGCCGATGTTGTCTGAACCCATGGCAGCTCTCCGACCTGGACCTGCAAAATCAGGCGAACGAAAGAAAACTCCGGTTCAGTTTCGCCGCGGGATAAGGTAAGCAGCTGCCGTGTCACGCGTGGTCCAGAGGGGGGTACGACGGACGTCGCTGCCGCGCCGGCGGCGCCAAGGAGCGGCCCACGATTATTGTGACGGCGAACTGAGCCGCCGCATCAGACCAAGAAAATGCAGAGAAGGAGAGAGAGGGAGGGAGGGGGCGTGCCTGGGGTCGTCGGATCTGGTGGAGGCGGAGGCGGAGTGCATGAGGCGCGGGAGCGGGGGTGAAGCAGCCGGGATCGGGCGGGGGGCTGCTGGATGCTCGTGCCTGGTCTGGAGTCTGGACTTGTTGCGCTGTTTATAACAGGGGATGGGTTCAGTCGCTGAGGGTCAGAGTCAGTGGGGCTGCGGTCCAACGCCTACAAAAGACTCGATGCCCGCTGAGCAGCCATTGGAGATGAAACGTGGACTTTTACCAAGAATCTTTAAAAAGTACACGTCAGCTAAATGTCAGTTGACCGACTTCGGTTTGGCGGCAGGCGATTTCGAGAGTTCGTCGAAGGGAGGCCGAAGGGAAGGAAGGAGCTCCCGCGAAGGGCTACCACACCATCTATCTTAGGGTGGGGGTGGTGGGGGCGGCAGCACGGCGACGGTTGGGGCGGCAGAACGGCGGATGGTGCAAGGTCATCAGGGCTAAAGGGATGACGGGGCGGGGAGGGGGGGCTAAGAGTGGGCGGTAGCACGACGATGGGCCACGGTTGGGGGAGGGCAGGGCGGTCGAGCTGCCACGCGAGGTGGAAGCCGGTGGTACACGATGTGGTTAGATCGACAGGAAGATGAGCGGGAAGTTGAAGATGCAATCTCGGTCGTCTATTTTTGTATGTGGTGGCTGGTAGGAATTGACTGGCCCAGTGATTTTTTCAAGCGACTTTGCAACTAGCCGAGCCAAAAAAAACTCCTACCATTGATGTGTTTCGAAAAGAGTAACTCGGACATCCGAATAACAATGATGATGTCATAGATTATTCGCGATTGGCCAAGATGATGCGCTTCCTCTCTATTGCCAACGACCTCATGCGTCCGTTTCCTTGAAGATTATGTCGAGGGCAACTCGCACGACTTAGGCGACATGACGGGCATCTCAGACCTCCCTACCAATGAGGCACCGGAAACCAGTCGTGGCAGGGCACTGGTGTGCGTCTAGCGGCTTCTAACGTGGCGGGGTCAGGGCTTTGGTGTGGCAACTAGCGTTCTGCGACAACCTCCAACCTGTCCCGACGATCTCACTCCTCCTCCTCCTCCTCCTCCTCCGCGATGAGGGCAGTCTCCTCCCGCGTGACCTCCTTGTCCAAGCGTCGTTCCTTCTTCTCCTCCACGATGACGGCAGTCTCCTCCTGCGCGACCTTGTTGTCCAAGCGTCGTTCCTTCTTCTCCTCCGCGATGACGGCAGTCTCCTCCTGCGCGACCTCCTTGTCCAAGCGTCGTTCCTCCTCCTTGGTGAGCGACACCCAGTCCGGCCTTGGGGCGAAGCGACATGGTGAGGACGAGGAAGGGAAGTGGAGTTTGTGGGGATGATGGGGAGATGATTTGGGACGGAAAGGCACCGACCTTCTATAGCCACTAGCGGTGAAAAATGGTGCGCGTGACGGGAAACGGGGACGGGCGGCAGGAAAATATGCGGGAAACATACGTGGGCTGTTGGCCATGCGAGGATGACCATTAATTTTCTCCTATCACAGTGACATGATTGGTTCTGCCATCTGTGCCATCGGCGGGGGAGGGGGGAGAGGAGGAGCAAAGACAGGTCGCGATGCAGAGGATGAGGGGAGAGAGGTGAAACTTTCCTCCCGCACAGATGGTTAATGTAGAAGCGCACTGATATGGCAACTCTACTAGGCTCGTCTTTGGATCTCAAACTCTATATGAATAGGTACCATACTGATCAGACCAATATGATGCCTTCACTACAGTTTTTGGATCTCAAACTCCGTATGGACAATTATAATGCCGATCAGACCAATATGATGCATCCGCCAGAGTTGCTTTAAGAGCATAGTCCGCGTACCTAAAAAATGCATAGTTTTGCATTATTGTGCATTGGAAGTAGAAAAGTTGCCCCACTACATGGTAAAGTATGTATACTAGATATGCCATCGCTCAAGGAGGTTAAGAGCATCTTCAAATTATACCTAAATTCTATAGCCTAAAATGATAATCACATGTTTACCATTTGCATATATTTTTTCCTATTATGCTATGCACACTTTAAACAAATAGAGGAATTCATCAAACTAATTCAAGCAAATATGAAAATGTTGCACACGTAGTGCACATACCGCTACTAATTTAGGAATTCATTAAAGTCAATACAAAAGTCACTTATAGTAGACAAATTTGTGGATCAGGACTACTACTCCTGGGAACATAATGGTGGTCATCAAGCTGGTAATAATTTTTTTAGAAAAAGAGGATGACCCGCGGCCTCTGCATCTGGGCGATGCATACGGCCACTTTATTAATTATTCTCACAAGACCTTACAAAGCCATACAACAGCAAGACTAAAGCCGCCGTCTAAGCAACAACTGTTGCTACACCTATCCGATTGATGAAGGGGCGCAGATAGTCTGGGCCTAATACCAAACAAACATCGCAGCCAAATCTAAACATCTAAGACCTGAGGTCCCAACCAGGACGCCTGCCGGGTACGGAGCACCTACCAGTCCGGCGCACTCCTCAACCAGGACGCCTGCCGGGTATGAGGCCGCCGAAGCCACCTACCACCAATCCATCTTCAGTGTTGTACTGCTGCATCAACCTTGTCCGGTCTAACTGCCGTCGACGCCACCACGACGCCAGACAGCGCCACCTTCCTGCGCGAGTTCATCTTCGCGTATCGGACTCCGAATCTCCACAGCGCCACACCGCCAAGATCCGCCGCCATCAATGTATAAGATGAAGTACCACTCCACCAAAGAAACCGTCCTCTGTTCCCCGAGCCCGTGTGTACCTCCATGAATGACGCCCTCAAGGGGGAAACGACACCAGAGCGCCGCCATCATCCGATCAATTGATCTAGGGTTTCCCCCAGAGGTAGCAGAGAGTGACCTTGAACTTCTCCGCGACGATGCCTTCAAGAATGAAACGAAACAGACTGCGCCGCCACCGCCGGCCTTTGCAGTAGTCAAAAGCAAGTTTTCACTCAGATCTGTTCGAAGAAACTTCATCTCTCGTGCACGGGACGCCGCGTCTTCCGACGTCCCCCGGGAGCGGGATCCCAAGATCCGCCGCCACCGACGCCGCCACAAGGACCCACCACTCGACCGTCATCCCTGAAGGGGACGACGCCACCACCGTGCTCGGATCCGGCATCACGCCAACACCTTCGGCCGCCCCTAATCAGATCGGTGAAGGAGAATAGCCAACGTGAGCGCCCACCACCGCTTAGAACCGCCGGACGGCGCCCGAGCCCGGCCACCCGAAGGAGAACCGATCTGGGGCGGGAAATCCCAGATCCGCCGCCGCCAGCCCCAGCAGCGCCGCCGGGATCCCATCGGGCCGCCGCCCGAGCGCGCCAACTCCGCCTCCATGTTGTACGCCCAGGGACGCCGATGCATCTCAGCCAGAGGATCCCCTCGTGAAGAAAGGAGGATGGCCCGCCGTCCGCCGTCCGCCGGGCGAGCCGGCCTCCTTCGGCGGCGGTGGGGAAGAAGGGGAGGAGGGAGGTCGAGGGCGGCGACGGTTGGGGCGCCCGAGTTGCCCCCCTGGAGGCGACGCGAGCGAGCGAGTTGTTTGCTCTGACACTCTAAACTGCCTCGGTATCTTCTGCTGTTGTGCCTCAGTATCAAACCGGTAATAATGCCAAAAGGAAAACCCTTGTTAGCTCTGATGAACAACAACGGGTCCCACGAGTCTCATGGCTCGGTAGACGGTGGATCCGCAAGAGAGGCACTTGTGCGCGCAACCGGATAGTTCCTGTGCGCAAACCTAACTTCAAGAATGTTGGCGTAGCTCTTCTCCACGGACGAACTGTTTTTTTTCTTTTTTCCAGCGTCTCCATTTGGTTTTAGTCTGTTTTATTTTTCATTTTTTTATTTCTCCCTTTTTGGTTTTGGCATAAAAACGTTTTTGTAATGCATGATATTTTTTTCCAAAAATCATAAACCTTTTTAAAGATAGGCAAACTTTTTCAAGACATTAAAATGTCTTAAACATGATATAATTATTTTCTTTCTAATACATGATTTTTTTAAATACGTTGACATTTTTCAAAACAATTGATTTTTACCCCATGAATGTTTTTGAAACATGATACGACAATATATTTTTTGCAATATATGTAGTTTATAATTTACATCTACTAGCTTCAATATTTTTTTAATGTTATTTCAATATATTTTTTGAATGTTCATTTCAACATAAAGAATGAAAAGGTTGCCACTATTGGGCCTAAGCCCTGACATCCCATATATGGGGGCCCTGACGCGGTTTCCTCCTATCCTTCGACCAGGGGCGTAGAGTAGGAGGAGCACGCCGCATGCAGCAGCGCCGCGTGCATGGGTGGATAGGTCGACCAGGTCCACCTTCATTGGTCTCTTGACTGCCCGGTGTTGCGTGCCTTGACTCCACATGCATCCAGAAACAAGATTCACGGGAGCCCCCGAACGCTCACAGAGTTTAGCAACTTTTGGCCATCGGATCCTTTTCTTGATGTGATCTGGGCCGTCGGATCTCGCTACCGATTGAGCTCGTCCGTCGGATCGACCCCGTGTTCCTGTAGCAATGAATAGTAGTGGTAGCAAACGCGTGCCACCGCATGTAATTTCACGGCCCGCCGAGGGCATGGATGGAAATTCGCGTGATGGGTGTGTGTGTGTGGTGTGGTGTGGATGGCCAAGGAACGGATGATGACAAGGAGTGTGCCAATTCCCCGATTGGTTGAAACCGTAGCCGCCACTCCCCATCGGGCGCTTCCTGCAGTCGTCGC